TTTAAATATTTGATGCTGGTGATGTACTGATCGTGTGTTTTCCTTCTGCGTCTATAGTGTCTTTGGTTCGTTGCACTAAACCAGGAGTTTGTCTCTGATGTCAGTTTCCCTCTTGTTTCGTTGCTCCTTCATCTCTTCCCTCCATGTTTTCCAGCCGCTCAGATGCATTTGATCGGTCTTTAGAAGCATCAGATCCTCCTTTACGCTGCTCAGGCTCAGCTTGGTAAACAGACAGAGCAGGTTGACAGAAGTGAAGGAGCACAGAGGAAGTGTTTGCTTTCGCTATCAAACGCACTGAAGGAAGCTGTAACCTGCAGGCTGCGCTTCCTGCAGGCTCCCAGGTGGAGGAAACCGTTCAGATCGCAGCGCCTCCACCCGACTCCTGTCCCGGTATCAGCCCTTTTTCTCTCCACCTCCATCCTGTGATCTGGTACCAGAACACAGCAGAAATGAGACGTCACCCAGCAGCACACTCGCCATCTTTCTGTCCGTCAGTCACGGTACAAGACGTCTGAGTTGGTGTGAATCCAGCTCAGGCTTGTTTCTGATTATGAGCGAAACAGAACCAGAGGGGAGTTTCTCCACACAACCAGGAGATTGTATTGAAAGAAGAGTGAGACGCGGCTGCAGCAATCATTTATTGATGTTAAACCACTAAATGTTGTATGTGAGTACCAGAGATCACATTGTGTCCCGACATGTCGCAGGCCTGCTGCTCACCAACACAAACATCCAGATATTATGATGTCAAGCTGAACCACAAATCTACATTAACGTCGCCGTGTTCTCCTTGGGTGCAGATGTGAGCATCGTAAATCTGGTTTAAGAGCAGCTCCCACTGAGCTTTGTTTGTGTAATATATGTGCACAGCTCCAAATTATGCCGCTGAAGCCTCGACGGTGGGAGGATGCTGTTGTTTTGAGCGGCTCAGAGGTGTGAAAGTGAAAATCCAACCCCGTCTCCAGCTACTTGTTAGTGGCCTGGTTGAGTCTAGGCGCCATAATTACCTGGTTAAGGTGAGGAAAAATGAGCAAAAATGGATGACGTTCAGTCTTGTAGGAGCTGCTATAGTCATGCTGGTCAGTGGGTGACAACAGCTGGTGACATTTTGGATCCAGTTCTTCATCCTGACAAAACATCTGGATTTGTTAAGCCTGCGTTGTGTCACTTTTGTCTCCCCCTTGTGTCAACACGAGTAATTGCACGAACACTGTTGTCGCTTCAGACTGTAACCTGGAAACTGATTCTTTCTCATCTGGAGCATCACAACCTTTTCTTGGATGCTTAATTGGTTTTTCCACCAAACTCCTAGTTAGTGTAGCTTACACTGTAAAACAGCAGAAAGAAATGTAATCTAATTAACTCGTGTTTTCTTGTTTACTTACTTGCTGAGGCTTAGCTTATTATACTTGAGGTGACACATTGTTATTTTCAGAAAATGTAAACTTAAAATTGGGGAGCTTAAAGGAAAAATGGCAAATGTGGCAGCATCATGACGTGAAGCATCATTCAGTGGCATCAATCTAACTGAGATTTTGTGGCTGGACTTGAGTTGTTCACTTGGATTCTTGTGCAACTTTGCAAAGCTTGAGCAGTTTTTTAGATCAATCCACTCAGGCTTAACGCTAATCTACTAAATACTGACTCAGAGGACAGTGAATACTTATGTAATCACTTATTTTACATTTTATATTTTTAATTAATTGAAATTACTTTGCTGAAATCTGTTTTGTAAATTCTTGTTTAAATACATGAGCTATATTGACCACGATTCACACTTCAAAAGCAATTAAAGAAGGAAAACGACCACTTTTTACAGGATTGTTGGAGATTTCTTTGTAGGAAGCTAATGAAACATGATTTATTTACCAAGAAAGAAAAAAAACAAACCACATCAGCCAGTGACTGTGACTCACCTTCTCTCCGGTTGAGCTTAGCGAAGCCCGGTCCGTGACTGCCGGACAGCAGCGAGGAGCTCCTGAAGGACGACGGCGGCAAACCGGACACCAGCGGACTGCGACACGCCTCTGAGGACAACACAACACGGAGAACACGCAATTAAAACCGCTGGCCATGTGACAAACGGATGGAGTCCAACAGTCAATTATTCAGCCTCGTGTCGGGTGCAAGGCTGCATCCTTCCTGCCTGACGGACGTTAATTAGACGTTATGGACGGCGGCGGAGCAGCTTGATGCTTATAGATGATCACATGATACACTGATTAGCAGACGCAGCACTCGTAACACACTCTACTACGTGGAGAGTTTGCTGCATTCGTGTTCGACGTCATTTATCGGATTAGTTTTGCGTCGCACCAGACTTAAGTGTTGACGGACGCGTCCCTGCATGGCTGAAGGCCAAACATCTCCGACAGCACAGATAGCGCTATCTCCTGGTGAGATTATATAGATGGAGAATCTTGAGCTGTCTTTACTTTGTTTCGTCAAGATTTAATCAGACTCGGCCTTCGTGCTTTGATATTGGATTCCTGCCCGTTAAGGGAACTTAGTTTGACTTTGGTCTCTCTTTCGTTTGCACTGAGCTGCTTTATATAACGATAAACTGTTCCTATAGAGGTCAAATATTAGTCAGTATCAATGTAAAAAAAGGGACTAAAAAGTAGATAAAATTAGCCAGAAGCCAAATATAATTAAATCTCATGTGACGACTTAATAAGTATTTGTGCAGCGTTAAAGCCTTTAAAGTGAAATGTGCCAAAGTGGTGAGTGAGTAAAGCTGCTGTGGTTCTGTGGGATCGTATTTAATATTAATACGCTGCTCTCCAACATCTGTGCGCTTCATCTGCAAATAAAAGCCCGTATTGTTGGCAGCCGATGCAGTGGAACCAACTCCGGATACTAAAGAGAATATTTGATTATAAAAAACCCACCAGCGCCAGCCTGATGCTTAAAAGGTTTCTCTGCAGGAAATTAGAGCGAATGTATGCAGAAAGTCGTCTTTTTTAAGTTTAGGTGTGAGTCGGATCAATAAATGATGATCTCTGTTCCTGGTGTTCAGTTTGGGGGAGGAGGAGTTTGTCTCTTTGTTTTTTTGACGTTTTTTCGAGCTTACCAACCTCTAAGCATCCAAGTTCTGATTCATCTTCCATCCTCGGTGTTCTTGGAATCCTATATCAGACTTTAATTTTTCATCAAGCGAGCTGTTCAAGACGCTGAAAGCCGGCGCACAGCGAGCTGGGAGATACTTAAACATGTGTGCAACAAACAGCATCATCTGCTCACACAAATACGGCAAGATGAAAGTTTTCACCGTGTTTTACCGACAGCATGCTCGTGTATCGTCATGTACACGCTGAGACTGGACAGGAGTCAGGTTGAAAAGGTAGATTTGAAGGCCACAACATTAAAACCACCTGGTTAAGGTCATCAACAGGACCTCTTAGAACCACTAACCCACGCTCCTGTGCAACGGATTGTGTTTATAAGACATCACAAATACATTCCTAATCAGTGTTTCTTGGCCATTTATTTTATTACTTTACTGTCGCTCCTTTTCAGCCAACCAATCAGATACTAGATTTGGTTCGACTCGTCTTCCTAGAAGCTTCAAACACACAGTGAAAGAAAGTCGTTGTTCAACCGAAGCTGTGATGTTTTTGGATGTTAAGCTTCTAACATGTGAACGAGTCCAACAAAGAATAGCTTTAGTGTCTAAACCCAACCAGAAAGCCAGCACAAACCACAAGTAAACAACGAGAGACAACTAAACTTAATGCTGAGACTAATCCTTCATCACAAGACTTCTGGTCTTCTGGGTAAATGTCCGGCTGCCTCCTTATGCCTCCATCCACTGTCGCTCTTTCAAACCGGCCGCCTTTAACGCCGCGTCATGCGTTTATTTTAAAAACAAAACGACGTTTCCCCTCGAGACATAACTGAGAATGCAGTTTAGACGTCACTAAGAATAGAAAGTCCTCAACCAGCATGTACATGTGGGTCCCACGTGGGTTAAATGGGGGCTACATGGGTACTGACTGGCTTTAACTGGGCTCATTCTGAAGGTCCCATATGATTTTAGCAATATAGGCCCCTCATGTGAAGCCCATGTGGGCTGACTGCATGAGCCCCATGAGGGATATACGTAGGCTCAGTGGGCTTAAACAGGGCAAACTGTGTGGTGCCATATGATTTCAGACACATGGGCCCCTCATGTGAAGCCCATGTGGGCTGACTATATGGGCCCTGTAGTGGATATTAATGGACAAAGTGGGCATGGTCTGGAATTGGGAAAAGCTATGGGGGACCCATATGGTTCCAGCTACTTGGGTGCCACAAGGGGCAACCCATGTGGACTGACTATATGGGCTCTATAGGGATTATATGTGGGCTGAGTGGGCTTGGTCTGGAACTGCTAGCCCGTGTTGTCTTTGCAAATGACCAGTTAAATATTCATGCAAATAATCTGTTGAACATGTTCATCTCGTAGTAACATGTTGGTGTTCCTACATGTTCTCTGACTTGTTGAGCTCGTGTTGTTTGTGTGTTTGTTTCTGGATGTGGTGTCACGCCAAACACGTCAACATAAGATCGTTGCTCAAAAGATCGACAAATTAGCGCTACATTAGAAGATGCTGGTAAGAAAAGAGGAGGGGGACTGTGTGTATATGTTGACAGCCACTGGTTCACACCCATTGCTCTCCTAATGTACAATCGCTGACTTCCTAGATTTGTACAGTAAACTTCTCCAGTGTCCAACCACTGGATGATCAGAGCAGATATCGGAGTCAGAAGTGGTCGTCTGGCTGAGTATTGAGGCCACTAATGCAGTGGCAGCTCCACAGGTCTTGGCCTAAACATAAATATTCTGAATCACATTGAAAATTCTTTATAAGAGGGAGAAGCTGAGGCCTCCCAGCAGGCTGCACACCACGACACGTTTCCATTATTCATCCGGCAGGAGGAGCTCGTCCAGGTATGGAGGAGAGCATCCTCTGAAACAGACGCAGCATTGACGAGTGAATCAGGCTGACTTTCTCCTCATTAATGGACGATAGACATCAAGTTCACAGCTCAAGGATCCTGGAAGCTGGTGTTGGTGCCTCAGAGCTGTGGGGTCTTCGATTGCCAGGATGGAGAGAGTTAATCTAAATTTGTGTTTCCTTCTGAAGCGAGAGGTTTCCACAGTTTGCCCTTTTTACTGCCGCTGATGCAGCCATTAAAGTTTTAACGCCTTACAGGGGAAATCTTGTGAACGAGAGCGAAAGAGCAGCATGAATAGTGCATCAGCGTGCACATGTACATCGACAGGTTTGGCATTTGTCATTTTAATCCGGAGCGACGTTCATGCTGGTGCCTTAGAGCCCTCCAGCCTCCGGTTCCTGGAGGCGGATGCTGCAGAACCACTAAATGTGTGCAGAAATAATGGTACTAATACGACTACAGCGTCTCTGGATGTGTGCAAGGACTGAAAAAAAAGCCCAGTAATTAAGGAGAGATTATTGCCGAGAGGTCCCAGGTGATCACACACATCCTCCGCTGTGTTGTGTCGAGCTCAACTTCAGCTTTTTTTCACCGGTGCAGCAGAGTTTGGCTGAGTTTCATCATCACGCTCGGTGTTTTCTGACCCGTCTGCCTTCCTCCCAGCACGAGTCTCTGGCTGAGGGAGGAAGTCTGGCTGTTTAACAGCTACAGAGCTGTGAGGACCAACAGATCCGTCGTCTGAGCGCTGAGAAGCTGCCCTTCATCTGCCTGCTTCCAGACTGAAGCTCATCGTGTCTGAAAACGCTCAGCGGGCTGTTTGTGCGAAGCACAGCGAGCACAGCTTCTTCAACAAACATATTATGTGTTTCTAGAAGATGCATAAGCTGCTCACTCTGACTGGATCACCTGGAAGCAGTGAGGAGGAGGCGGAGCTACACAAAGTTCGACGTAGACAACATCATTTGAAATGCAGCAACTCAATAAGATTCTCACTCGCCTGTGAAGCTCGGAGGCCGGCTAGTTGTTATTTCATACCTCCAAGTTTCCAGAAACACAATAAAAATAGATTTTCACCACGTGGGAGCTTTAGGTTAAGATTCTGCCGTTTCATTTTTGATGCTGTGGTGGATGTGGTATCATCGCACCATGCTGACGCATCGATGGTGCAGAAAGAAAAAAAACACTTTCGCAAAAACTAAGTTTGCAAAGAATAAACTGCTGATTTAAAGCTGCATTATTTAGCAGCAGAGCTTTGTCTGATTTCCTCCTTCCCCCCTCTCTGATATGCAAATAGAGGAAGTGCTTTGGAAGTAGCTGCAACAACAAACAAGCAAAGCAAAGAGCAGGAACAACATGTAGGTTTAGGTCCCCTCTGGAAACGCACATTAAGAATCCAGCAGGCTGCTGCTCTGAGCACAAACTGCAGCCTCCTCCTCTTCCTCCTCTTCCTCCTCCTCCTCCTCCTCCTCCTCCTCCTCCCCTGGTGGGAGGGCCTGACCCGCCGCCTGGAGGAGAATTTTAACGCTCGGTGCAGGAAACTTTCCAGGTAGAAGTCCTTCCCACCGGAGTTAATCTGGTGTTCACCGATGCATGTCTGAAGTGTACTCACTGCCTCACCCACACACCATCTAGGACAAGGACACCGGAAAGCATAAGTAGCACCTTGGGAGGCACAGCGCAGAGAAGAATTCCTGACAAATTTATAGATTCAATAAGCTCCTGGACGCCTGTCAAGAGCCGCATGAATAAAACGAGGAGCAGCTCTTTACCTGAGGTTACATTTGCAGCCACTTCTGTGCAGATTATTGTTCTCCTCTGATTGCAGAGAAGAGCTGGAGTCTGCTGCAAAGCCTGTTTACGGGTTTAATGTTCAGCACGTCTACACGAGCAGGAAAGTGAAACCCCAAAGCTGCAGAGCTGGAAGGGTTACAGGACGTAAAGGGAAAGTCGCAAACCTTAATCGACCTGCTGGGGGGGAGCACGGCGCCCTTGAGCAAGGTGTTGGACTCCCGGCTGGAGAGGAGAGCAGGAATAAAAGCAAGCAGAGGATAAAACAAAGAGAAACCATCTGACGGAGGAGCTGACTGATGGTTTAGCATTTTCATCACATGAAGCCTCGTCGCTGCTAGTTAATGACAGGACGGGTTTGTTTCAGCGCAGCAGGACGTTCTGTTGTCTTCTGGGTAAACATATTTCACATCTGAGCGACCAACTTCAGGGCACCGAGGCTGACAAATCTAAACACACTGCAGTCGACTGGCAGGAAAATGTGCTCGACACAATATTAATGTGAAAACACACGAGCTGAGGACTGCAGTGACTGCTGATGCTGAGGTCAGAGTCTGGACAGCCAGGTTTCGTCACCGCCGACGCCGCTCATATGTTATTATGGCTTCGTGTTCTGCACTGATAACCAGCGTTTCTTTCCTCTGTCTCTGTCTATTGATTCCTGAGGCAGTAATTTCTGAGCGGATCGGCGGCTCAGCGACTCATCAGCACTTCTGCAGCTGGCTGAGGTTCAGTTTGACACACAAACACGTTTCCAGGGACCCGACGCAGACTTCCTGTTTGAAGGACAGACTCCTAAAACCCCTAATTTGCACAAAGACTTTGTACTTAACCCTCTGGACCTCAGCACTTTCTGGACGTTTCTTTGCTGCCATCAAATTTTTCTTTTCTCCTTCACTGTGGCCTCATTTTTCAGTCTTGCTCCTCCATGGAAGCAGAACAACTCAGACGTGTCGTCTGTGCAGCGTGACTCAGTCAGAATGCCGTAAATCACAACAAATTAAAAAGTGAAAGTTGGATTTCTGTGCTTATTTAATTCACAAAAAATTACAGAAACTAAAATCAGCAGCATTTTTCCGGGCGTCCTCAGGTGTTACCAACACTGGGATGAAAATGGAGCCTCTACATATGATAGATATTTAACTACAGTCGTGACTCGATAATCGACCCTTAACAATCCTAAACCTGCTATCCGACAGGTTTTTAGGAAAACCCAACAGAACCCATAAAAACAGCCTTAACATAGCGACAGCCTTGGATTGTGACTCCGACATGACATTTAATGTCACCAATCAGGATGACGGCGTATTATCTGACTGAACAATCCCACAGATTGGCTACGTTCACACTGCAGGACTTGATGCTCAATGAGGATTTCTTTGTGACTTCCTTCACGTTTCCAGTTCAATGCGACTTGTATGTGATCTGCTGTGTGAACTTCATACGACCCAAAAGTGTCCCGCATGCGCAGAAGAGGACACGACGACGTCACACGCAGCGAGCGTGCTCAGTGTTTATGGAAGTAAACATGGATGGTAACGGTGGAGCGTATCTGCCACTCCCCCGCCGCCACCGAT